CCCCAAAACCCCAAAACCCCAAAACCCCAAAACCCCACTTAGTTTCCACAATATTGAAATTAATTTTCATCTTCATTCTCATCCTCATCTTCGTAATAAAGTCTGTCCATTGGAGTTTCTTCAATTTGATTTTCTTCCAGGATCTTCCACCTCTTCTCCTTTTGGGCTCTCTTCTTAATGGCTCTGCTGAATTTCTTGCTTCTTTTCTTGGCAGGAGTGATGTACTTGCTATTCTGCCATACAGTTTTCCCTGTGAATCATCCTTCTAAGATTTTTATGGGGGTAAGGTTGAACCTTGGACCAATCTCGACAAGGTTCATATTGTCAATCTGATCGGTTTCAGTGAACTTCTCATCATTTTCATTCAAGATTTGGTAATTTCTGAACCAAATTTTATTCTCAAAGTTCTTGAATGAGAAAATATGATCAATAAATGGCTTCGACTTTGGATGATACCTTGGAGTGTTAAAAGTACTTCATAGCAACTCCTTCATTAACACAAGATGACGGTTCTTCAAAAAGTCTCCCTCACTTGGCAAGAACGAGTTATCAAACGAGAGGAGAGGACGACTTCCTTTTAAGCAATTTCCTGTCATTTTCTTTTCAAGACTAATGTTCACTCCTTTGATTTCATACTTAGCGCAAGGACCTTCAGGATACTTTCCAATCCAAAGGAAAATATTCATCGTTCTTCTTGGCTCAAAGTACAGGAAGGTATTACAAGCTAGTGACTCTCATAACTCTAGCACATCTGGGATAGCTGTTTTCTTATTTACCTTAGCCTATAATTATGAACTTCAACTCCTTACCTCTTTCTTAGAGTGTGGGAGGAGGTCAATGATGTCTCTAACAAGCCCTGTGAACCCTGGAGCAGAGCCTCTACCACAGCATATTAAAACTCTTGCTCTATTTTTCCACTGTTTAACTTCTGGCTCCTTAAAAGCACTCTCTTCTTTCTCTTCTTCACCCTCACCTTCTTCGCTGGGAATGTCGCTCTCTGGTGCGAGGATAGAGTCTTCAGAGGAAGACTCTATTCCTTCATCAGCCATATTTCTCTTCTCGAGTAGTTTCAGCACAGACATTAATTTGGAGTGTATAAACTAATTTTATATTCCCTTCCTCTTTCTGGGGTTTTGGGGTTTTGGGGTTTTGGGGTTTTGGGGTTTTGGGG